TTTTTATATTAAGAACCGGGGATATAGTATAAAGTTAAAATTGGTATTATTCATTCATTTTTGAAAAAGGACCGGGCTTAGTTTTGGTTATGTACAGATGATTATGACATTTGCATGGCAGGCCCCAAATGGCACGCTATTTAAGAAATTTCTCTGCCTTGTTCCTTTTCCTTCCAAACAAAAATAAAGTTTGCTAGCATCCATTCACAAAATAAATATCAATATATCAGCCTCCGTAATATATATATATATATATTCTATAATGTATTGCATAATACAAAAGCTTAATTATCATGGTAGAAGGTTAGAATTATTATTTAAATGTTTCAACGGCTCAAATATATTAAGAACCCGAGGTAGTATTTATACAAAATGAAACATTTTCACTTGATGTAAGCTTGTACGACGTATAGTATTAAAAAAGAATCATATATTCTTATTATTATTATTATTATTATTATTATTATATAGAAGTTTAAGTATTCCTTATGAAGGGTACAACTAATAGGGACAAAACCTAAAACAAAAATACAGAAAAGCTACGTTGCATCGGAAGGCTCAATTCAATATTGAAATGAAAAGGAACGTTAACTTTTAGTTGGAAGTTGCCGAAAGAAGGATCGGACTTGTCTTTTACACTTTAATTTTATTTACAGTTAATTCCTAATCGAATAGAGCAAGGTGCTGCAGTATGAAAGCGCTCAAAACGAGATTAATTAATGAATAATATATTCTTCCGTCCTAAACATAAAATTCATTTTATGGTGTAAATTACATTACAAAATAAATTTAATATCTAGGATCAGAAGAATAATATAAAAAGACAAATATTATTAATATAAAAAGATCATAATACAGAGTTAGTGCATCATTCCCTCTAATTCTGTTATTTACAAGAGACACTTTTTTCAAAAGACATGTTCTTTTCTTTTTTTTTCCCCCTTATAGGAGGTATTTTGGAGATCTTTAGACATTTACTACTTTTTTTCATATTTATTCTTAATTAATTACATTTCTTTCTCGTCTCCTTTTCTACTTATTCTCTCTTAGCCGCATTTTTCACAAATAAGGGTATTTTTGAAAAATAAATTGTACTTTTTGCATATTTATTGCTTCCAATTAATTGTAGTATTTTTTTAATCAGGTACATTGTAACTATTTCTTAATGAAAATTCCTTTACCATATGTAATTAATAAGAATACTTTAAATAAAACATTATAAATTTAGAGGATAAAATGAATTAAAATCTTATATTTAGAATTAAAATAAATCTTTTACTTAACTCCAATATTTAAGACAAGAGGTAGTATTATATAGATTCTGACACAAGGAATATGTGAATTTTCATGGACTTAGATATTAAAAGAATTATATGCGAAATCGTCTATTCCTTTAATCCTAAGTGTGTGAGATATTAAAAGAATTATATGTCAAATTGTCTACTCCTCTAGTCCTAAATATGAGAGCTAGTGACGGAGTTGGTTCTAATTCTAAATATAAGGTATTAATTCATTTTATTTTTTATATCTATGATTTTCCAAAAACTAAGTTTTATCTAACTTATAAACTAATATATAATCTAACATTGTATACGTATTTTAAAGAGGTCATCATGTCACATTTATTATATAATTAAATAATTTATTTAAGAAAAAAATCATAAAAAAAGACCTTGAAAATAAAAAGAACTATATACAAGGACCTATTCACAAAAATTGTTGTTATTTGCTTATCAATTCAATTGTTATCAAAACCCATACTAATATTGTAATGGGTTCCTATTTGCAATTGTTCTATTTTCAAAGTCTTTTTTACGATTTTCTCTTTATTTAATTTATTTAAATTAATTAAACAGTTCTTTAAGTTAATATACTATTCCGTTTCTAATTATAAGATTTTGTTTATAAATTACAAGCACAGTTAATTAACTAGTCACTTTCTTCCATCTTTCGTGACTCATTTTCTAATTGGATATCACTAGGCTAGCTTTTTGGTTATCATATAGTGCATTGTCGAATATTCTAGAAATATGGACCACTGCATAAAACTGAATAACAAACCCCAGGATAATTACTCATAAACGTGCATTTCCCAGAATACCGTTGGGCTGTCGTTTAGCCTAATTATGTCTTTTATCCTTGTAAATTTAAATGATATTCAGTTCAGTCCTTATGTTTATGCTCAAGGAATATTACCCTTTAGTTTTCCTTTTAGAAAAGGGATAACATTATCCTTCTTCTTTAGCTTTTCTTAGAAATCGATGGGTCTGTACTCACGAACGGTGACAGCAGCTGGGGAGGTGTGGTGTGGGATGGAAATCACAATTGGATTGTGGGTTTTGGCTGTAAGCTCTCATCGGTGCAGCCAACCATCGTGGAGCTGTTGGGAGTAATTTATGGTTTGCACATATGTTGGAAAAGGGGCTTGAAAAAATTGATTATTATTACTGATTGTGTTCATGTGATCAACTTTTTAGGTAGGGGATGTGATAAAAGATCACCCTTACAAGGATATAGCGGATGGTGCTAGGTTGATTTTTCACAGGAATTGGCAAGTAGGGATTAATCATGTGGGTAGAGATAGGAACAAGTCTGCGGATATGTTGGTTAAATCCGCTCATAGATCACAGGATATTTTTTGTATCTTTGATCATCCCCACCTCTTACCCGGGAGGAGGAGGAGGATGATGAGAGAGACTAGGAGTCTTTTCCTTCTTGTTTCTGTTGTGTAACTTTTTTTTAAGTTGTATACAGTTATCATTCCAAAAAAAAAAAACATTATCCTTCCATCTAAATAAACCTATCAAGCTCTAATATTTGTATGAAACAACAACCCCCAAGTCCCCGACACATTTTTGTTATTTCATGTATGACTTCTTTTTCTTCTTAATTACCACATACCAAATTAAGATATGAAAAATGAATATTCACTATTCAGTTTGATTATTTTAATTTAATGGTTCAATTGAATTAATTTAAAAATATATATCGAAGGACTCTGTTGGGGAAAAAAATTTGGGTACAGACTCTGTTGAAAAATGCGCCTCTTTTACAATGCGGTTTCTTCGGCCCACTCTCAAAAAAGGGCCCATTACCACAAATGAAAATATCCCAACTACTTGGAGCCCACTAGTCCTGCCATCAATAAGGTGAGTTTATACTACACAATTATAAAAATTCATTTAAGGGTTAATGCGCAAATTTACTTCGGAAGTTTGCATTTAGGAGTGCTGAATATCTGAAAGTATTTTTTGACTCAATGTCATCTTGAAAGTTTTCAAATCATAGCAATGTCGCCATTATCCAGGTTAAGTTTGACCATTAGTTGATCAATTATGCTGAGTTGGTATGTCTATGTGTCGTCCACGTCTTTTTTTTTTGGGTTAAATGTAAATTTGTTCTAGAAGTATTTACTCAAAAGCATTGGATATTTGGAAGTTTCAAATTATAGCAATGTTTCCCTGCTTGTTATCCATGTTAAATTTGACCATTAGCTAACCAAATATGTTGAGCTGGTATGTCCACACGTGACTCACTTCATTTTTTTCCCAAGTTATCCACTTCATTTCTAGTTTATAACCCTAATGCCATTTTTCCCATACAAAAACAACTCATTTCATCCCTCTATTATTCCATCATTCGCTTTTAGATTAGTACTTTTTGTAAGAACAAAAGTAGAGTATAAAAATATAATAAATAATATACGCAGAGAAGATACTCATGAGAATTCTTAAAAGATGTAAACGATAAGGACGATTTTGAGAATAGTCACAGGCTTGGAAAGTATAGAACCAGTGATTTTGCAGAATTAATACTAAATCCTCCCCTTAAAAAAACAATGAAGTGGATATATCACACACTGATCTACTAGCTCAACATATTTGGTTAATTAATGATCAAATTTAACATGGATAACAATTAGGGTAATATTACTACAATGAAAACTTTCAGATATCAAGCTCTCCTGAGTCAAAACTTTCAGGATAAATTTGCACTTAATTTAGAAAGAAAAATGATGTGAATGATAAGTGGACATGCCAACTCAGCATAATTCATCAACTAAGGCCAAACTTAACCTAAATAATGGTCAAGGTGACATTATTACAATTTGAAAAACTTCCAGAACAATATTGAGTCAAAAAATACTTCCGCATATCCAATGCTCCTAAGTACAAACTTTCGGGACAATTTGCATCTTAACCCATTAATTTAATCACTAAAGCAGTTTTTTACCTCCATAGTAAGGGTTTTGGTGAAATTAGATTATTTTCAAATCTTCGTAGCCTTGATTTGCCAAGCGCAAATGACTTCTAACATCTTTTATATATACATATACATACATATAAAAACACACAATGTCCATCCTACGGATTTATATTTATAACTCACCTGCTTTTTAGAGATTATAATTAACCTCGTATGTGATGCATTTATAGATCCACATCAGTTATTCAATTGTTTACTTTTATTCAATTCTCAAAACATAGGGGCATTTTTAGCCTAAAACGAAATCAACATAAAATTTTCAAAAAGTAAAGGAAAGCTTACTTTTCACATTTAAAATGCATGGTAAGTAATTAAAGTCAAGCATAAGTTTTATTTAAATTATTATTTACTATCAAATTGACTGTTTAAAAATTATATCTATTCTGCATTTTCTCCATCTCAACTAATTTTTAAAAAAATAATACGGACCATTTAAAAATCAATTATTTTAAAATATTTTTGACTACGCACCTTCACACGTAACCTATAAATTGAAGGCCTGAACTAAATTAAACATATATGGAGTTATAATTTGCATAATAATCTGTATAACTGAATGATGATTAATGACGCCCTTGATATAACCCCTCTAATATTAATTAGTAACATAAACTCATATTCATGAACGTAACTCATTTTATAATTCCTCTCTATATATTATCTAGTTCTCTCTCTAGCCACCTCGACTGAGCTAGAAATCAAAGTAAAAGCTGTAATCTTTGAGGTGATTTAAGATGGAAATCAAAGTGACTTCAAGAGAAATCATCAAGCCATCCAAACCCACTTCTCCAGAAAACAAAACCTTCAAGCTTTGTTCCTTCGACATCCTCCACCGTAACACTTACATCCCTGTAATCTTATTCTACCCCACCTTCACAAACCCCAATAACATTCTCAAACACTCGCTTTCGGAAACCCTAACCATCTTCTACCCTCTCGCCGGCCGACGAAACGACCTCGTTTCCGTCTCCTGCAACGACGAAGGAGCCGTCTATTATGAAGCCACCGTGAACACTTCCATCTCCGACTTCCTGAACCCACCAAAAACAGAATATCTAAACCAGCTTCTTCCATGCGAGCCTTGCAAGATTCATCCACCGGGATCGTTGCCTCATTTGCTGGTTCAAGTTAACACTTTCGAGTGTGGCGGTGTGGCCATTGGGGTGTGTAATCTTCATACCATCATGGATGCTTGCTCGTGCCGTGTCTTGTTGAAGACTTGGTCGGCGATTTGTCGCAGTAAAAGAGAAGACATCGAGTGGCCGGATTTTGATTCTGCATTTGCCGTGTTCCCTCCCATAGATTTTTCCCGTGTGCGTGCCGGCCTTGTTTCTTCGTCCTCAAAAGTTGAAGCCAATTGCACCATAAGAAGGTGATTTCGTAACAAGCTTAATAAATTTTTTGTCAATAGAAAGTTTAAGCCAGTTAATCACTAGTTTTAGTAGAAAGGGCTTTGGATGTTTAAACATGAGGTCTCGAGTTTAAGCTCATATAGATGCAGAAAACACTTTTAGCTAGAAGAACTAACTCTAATTTTACTTAATAACACTCTGACTCATTCAGATAGTTACATAAAAAGAGAGAGAGAAAGTGAGTGATAGCAGGCCTCTGGCTAAAGAAAACACGTATATGTTTATAAATAGCTCATCAACAAAATTCTTATATTAGTGGCAGTTGGGTTTGAAGCTATGATCTCATATATTATGAGCCAAAATCCTTATTAACTGTATTGAATTTTCTTGATAACAATCGCGAATATTATCTGGATACATTTTTTATGAGCTGAATTGATATATATATATATATATATAGATATATATGACATATGAGTTTTATTTTTCAGATTCGTGTTCACTGAGGAGGCCATGAATAACCTGAGAAACAAAGTAAAAGATGATGATGATGGAGGTTTGCCGAATCCTACACGTTATCAAGTGCTGTCTTCTTTCATCTCCAAGCACATGATCCTTGCATATAAAAGCAAAGGCATAATATCTTTGGTATTACTAATGCACATAGTGGACGCGAGAAGAAAAAGGGGCGACCCTTTATCCAGTAACTCCATGGGAAACCTGCACTGGCCGGTGATGATACCTTATGACAAGGCCAATTACACAGACGATATCAGTCTCAATGACTTAGTGAAAATCACGAGACAGAATATAGGAAGCGTCAATAAGGACTTGTTCTTGAGGATTCAAAGAGACCCTAATTTTCTGCTGAGTGCTGAGTGTGGAGGGATGTTGATGGAAGGGATAGAGGAGAAGAAGCCAATTCCACTTGTGTTCTCAAGTTGGTGTAATTTGGGGTTCGATGAGATGGATTTTGGATGGGGGAAGCCACTGTGGGTAGGTTTCAGAGGGGGAACACAGGAAACAGTTCCTAATAGTGTTATTCTGATTGATACAAGCCAAGGAATTGAGGCTTGGATCACTATGCCAGAAGAATATCTGGCTGTCTTGCAGAAAGATGAGGACTTTCTCCGATATGCATTGCTTAATCCTACAGTTTCGTCATAATAGGTATTTATAGATTTTTACAGTAATAAATCGATTGACTAATATAATGCAGATTTTGTTATAAAGTTTAAGGTTATTGTTGGGAAAAAAATAAGTTTAGGGTTGACGACCTTGTGGTTAGTGGCATGGAAGCTCTTTGCAAGTGGGAGGCTATAACGTGCATCGATTCCATCTGTAATTTCATGCCATTGTAATAAATTGATGATTTTAATGAATAAAGCTTTCATTTTGATGGGTATTTATAAGTTTTTTCAGTAATGAATTGATTATATATAATTGAGGGGGTTGGAGGTTAGGGGATATAATGAGGTACGAAAAGATAGATTGTACATGTGATGGTAAGATTTAGAGATCATATTTTAAGGTGTGGAATTGGGATTATCATAAAGTTTATGGTTTGACCTTTATTGCTTCATTTTGATTGCAAATTAAATAAAATTCCAAATTGAATTTTTAGATCCCTGAATTGCTACAATGTCGAGTTTGTGACTTGGTCTTGATCAGATAGGTGCATATAAATGGTGATTATACTATTTTGAGAAAATCATACATAAGGACCACAAAAGATTGACAATTTATACATTAAAATATCAAAATATTGAAATTCAATTTAAACACCATAATCCTTAATTGTAAATAAAAAAAGTTTCCTGTGGTTAAAGGGGAAAAAAAAGAGGCTTGCCACGGGCCAACTAATTTCTGACGATGAGTCAACAACAAGGATATTTTTGGCAAAGATATGTTTTTAGATTATAATTTAGGACTATGATCGTTAATTGAAATTTCAATAATTGGTGGTTCTAAATTATGATTATCAGTCTTTTGTGATCTTTATTTATCGTTTTTCCTATCATTTTTTGAGACTCAAATATTGGGCCATCATACTACTCCTTAGCTTGTCTTCAAAGGGGCCTTCTGAATTATTCTCAGATCAAAAGCCCATTTTTACGCAAATATTAATGATAAGCCGATGGTTGCTTCGCTGAGAGGTCCCTGCCCCCGCCCCGGGGGGAGGGGGAGGGATTTTTACGCAAATTAAAGCAAAACTTTTCTGGCATTCTTAATCAAATTTCATAAAATTACTTTTAAAAAGCTAATTCAAACATTTTTTTTAAAGTAGAGAAAAAACTATCCTCATATATTTACCTTATATTCCATAAGTTATGATGGAAAAACTGATTTTCAAAGCTTTAATCCCCATTCCATACAAGCCCATAATCATCTAAAATTATTGTGAAAGATTATTCACATGCAAGATATAAATTTGATCAAAGCAAAATATATATAAATTTAATTTTAAAGTTTTATAATTTTGCAGTCTTTTGGCTCCTTGGTTTTTGTTTTTTGGGTATTTTTTTTTTATCTCAGCTTTCTTTCTTGGTCTGAGGCTCTAATTATGGACCATGAGAAAATTGTACCTTTAGTTTCTAATATAAGAGATCGTTTAATTTTTATTTTAATCTAACTATAAATTTTAATTCACTTTATCTCTCGTATTTATTTATTTCAAAGTAATCTTTATAAGAGTAATAGTTTTAGCTAATACATTTAATTAGTAAAGATTTTTAAGAAAAACAACACCTATTTATTACAGATAACCAATTTAACTTATTATTTTAATATACTCAAATTAATCAAATAGTTTTTATATTAAATTAATCTACTCAAATTAATTAACTAGTTTTTATATTAAAAATCGGAGGTAGTATAATGTATGCGTCTTTAACTTCAAATTTATTGAGTGTGTTTGGTTTAGTTTGTTGAGAGTTTGTCAAAAGCTAGTTCGGTAGAAGTTAGTTATATTGTAATAGAATTTATGTTTGAAAGTCAGTTTATTAATTGATAGTCGTTTGGAAAGTAACCTAAACTGGCTTAGTGGCTTTTACCATTAAAATGTAAGTCATTCCAAGGCTGAAGTAACCTTTGAAAAGCAATCCGGGTAAGTTTTTCGGAAATGGATTTTCAAAAGCATTATAAATGGGCTTTCCCATTTGACCTGTGAAACTGAAATCTTCTCAAACAGACTATTGATTTTCCAAAAGTGGAAAACAAACATGCCCAAAGCTTCTTTCCGGATCTTTTACTCAGAAATTTAATTTACAGTACAAATTATATTACAAAATAGATTTTATATTTAAGATCGAAAGTAATATAGAAGTAGTATATACACATTCTTATTAACATAATACTCACATCATGTTTCTTATATCTATTATGTTAAGTTTTCTAATTACATATAATTTTGTATTTTAAATATAAGACCCATTTTATAATGTAAATTACACTACAAAATAGGTTTTACATTTAGAATGGAATGAGTATTATTATTTAATTATAAATTCATATGGAAAAAAAAGAACATACGATCGTATTGATTGGAGGAGTTGAGATAACGGATAGAATAAACTTAAGCGACATATTTTCCTTTTTATTAGTATTTATTTAGAGATATACTTCCTCCTCTTCACAATGTAGGACATCTTGGAATTTTAAGAAATATATTTCTATTTTTACCTTATTTTGGTTAATGTATGCTGAGTAATTACGCCTAGGAGGTTGTAAAAGTTGATTTTATTAACATACATTGTATATATTTGAAGTCTCCTCAATCATATACCACTCTATTTTTATATATAAGTCACTTATAAAATAATTAATAATCTTTTCTTAGTCGTACCCTCACTGAATACACTAAATAGACAGATATGAAAAATTTTATTGATTTAATGTATTTTTTGACATTTGATGATATACAAATGACCTATATAAAAGAACAGAGTAGTACCTAACATGAGTTTTATTTGGAAAACATATTTCCTTATTTTGTTTTCCATCACACCATGGATAAGAGTTTAGACATGGAAAGACATTTGTTGCAGGGAAAAAAAAAAAGATATGGAAAGACAACATTACCTTTGATCCTTAATATAATAGTTAGTTTACTAATTTAAATATATTAAAAAAATTAGTTAAATTAGTTATTTGTAATAAATAAGTACTGTTTTTATTAAAATATTCATGTTAATCACATGTATTAGTTAGAATTATCATTATTACAAAGACTACCTAAAAAAATAAATAAATATAAAATATAGGCAAAAGACTCGATTAGAAGTACAAACCTCTTAAGAATCTCAAGCCAATCAGCAAATAAGTTTGCCTCTCTAAAAATGCATAGCACATAATGACTCTATATGAGTTTTTTTAATTAAATTAAACCCTCCTTTTAGAAATTTGAAACAAATAAAACTGAAAAATATTAATCAATTAATTAAAAGCCTCTAAATGATTTTGAATGAGTGAAGGAGAGCACCAAAATTGCAGTGTGTATGTGTAAAAAGCGCCGCTAATTAATTTCGGTCATGACTTTTGAGTAACCGATCCTTAAAAGTCACCCTTTTTTGTTCAGCCAACACATGAAATTGCGACAATGTTTGTTAAAGTTTCCACTTTAATCTCCGGCAATATCTCTAACATAATTTGTTTCTAATAAAAGAAAATTGTAGCCGAATTGTAATGGGTAGATAATAAGGCAATAATATGTCCCAAAAAAAAAAAAAAG